AGGGGGGTGGGAGGAGTAAGGGCTGAGCAGAGGGGCCTTTTGATCCGAGTCTTAAATCTTTTCTCCCAACTTTTCTGTGAAGCCCCTAGGGCCCCTACACGCGGCAGGGTGTGGTAACTTATTTTGGATTCCTGTCACCACGGCTGCTTCATGAAGGGTTTTAAGGTGGAAAATACTTAACAGTGGTAATCATTGCCAAGAGGGGAATGGAATAATTAATTCTAAAATTCTGTGATCTTGAAGAGAGCTTTTTTAATGGCCGTGCAACTGATTTCTCACCTTCAATCTCAAACGTGCGACATCATGTTGGAGGAGCGGCCACGAAAGCTCGCTGATGACCTGGTTTCCAATCCGTCTGCCTTTCTGTACTTTTGTCCTGCTTCGAAGAATATTGTGCTTCTGAGGTTCCTGTCCTTGGCAGAAAGCCCATCAAATATCAGTACCTTGCTGGAAAAAAAGTGTGTCTAAAACTCACATACAGGCCCCGGAAAACATAATCTTTCATTTTAACCTTATGATAATTCAAAACGGGTTTGTTTATAGTCGTGTCTTTGCAGAAGAGAGAGAAAGTATAACATAAAACACATTGTAACGTCTGAAAAAGCACGCCCCTTTAGAGTCCTTCTCTGGGATGAGTAAACGGGGTTTCCTGTCGGGGCTGACGGTTGAGACGTTAGTCTTTGGAGCTCCAGGTGTCCCCCATTCATCGCGTGCACGTGTTTCGAGCCGCGGCTCATGTGCTGTGCGCCGTCACCGGTGTCCCGTCCCCACGCGCTTTCATGGAGCTTTGTGTTTTGGTCGCAGGAACGCACCGAGGCTGGGCGGCCGTGCAGATGCGTTTGCTTCACGAGTTGGTCTACGCCTCCCGCAGGATGGGGAACCCTGCGCTCTCCGTCCGGCACCTGTCCTTCCTCCTGCAGACCATGCTGGATTTTCTGTCAGACCAAGGTGAGTGTATTCAAGCTGATTTTTTTTTTTTAAGGAACGATGAATGAGGGCGTTCTTGCTGCTGGCCCACGTGGACACCTGGCTCGGGCTTAGGTGGGCGGTGTCCCCAGTTCTCCGCCGGTAGAAGACACCGTGCTCCACCGTGTCCTCGGCTCCCGTGCTGCCTCTTCCCCCGCCTGGTGCCCTGTGCCGCTGCCCCTGGGTCCTCCCTGGGGTCTCGCTCCTCAGCCTCTCTCCACACCCCACTGCATTTCTCTACTTCTGGGCCCCATGCCTGGGCCCCCCTTGTCTTTCCTGCATTGTGTGAACTACAGCTGTCAGCGTATAACATTACGTAGAGAGGAGCGTACTTCACAAGAATACAGCTCAGTGGATTTTCACCACGTGACCACCACGCGACCACCACCGTCCCCGGCACCCAGGTCACAAACGTGCTCAGAGCCCCAAAGCCCCCTTTGTGCCCACTTCTGGTCACTTCTGCCCTCAAGGGCAACTTCTGTCTCGACTTCCAAAGGGATCACGTGGTATCTTGCCCACAGGTCAGGCTACTTTTTCCCGGGTTCCTCCTTCACTCGTCCCCTCCCACACTGCTCCTGGGTGCCAGCTGCTTTTAATTTCAGCCGTAGTCTGTTTCCAACCCAGATTCGCCCTGGGCCCCGGGCCCGTTTATCTCATGTGCCGCAGCTGGGACTTCCTCCTCTTTAATACACTTCTTCCCACGGCAGGGCCTTTGCGCTCTCCCTTCCAGCGCCCTGACCCCCTTCACCTCACAACTCCCCTGGTCCCACTGCCTCTCGGACGCCTCTTATCAGCCCCCAGAGAGACGAGGCCCCCTGCTGTTTGTCTTCTTCCTTCACGAACTTCTCACAGTTCCGGCGGGAGAGTCGGGGCGCACTCGGGGTTAGAGCCCGTCTTCCCTCAGAAGCTGCACAGGAGAGGGAACTTGCTAGGTGTTAATTAGTGATCTAGAGACACTGCATCTAGATGGGAGGAGCCAGGCCGTTTGACACACGGAACAGATTGCTGCCTCCGTAAAGGGCTGCGTACAATGGTGTTCGGCTGGCTGGAGTCTGGGACGGGGACGAAGGTCGGATGGTCTGATGGGCTCTTTCCCCAGCCTTGATCTGTCCTCCCCGCAACCTCAGGTCGATAATTAGATTCCTCCTGGGCCTCCATCTTCCCATTCGAGCGTTCCATGTCGGCTGGTAGTTTGTTGTCATTTTAGTGGTGGAGGCATTGATTTACGGGGCGACCCTCCTCCCGGCGAGCTCATGGTGGCACTCGTGGTGTCAGCGTTCAGCACTTGTAAATACCGCTGCGTGGAAATTAAACGTGGATCCGAGCAGCAGCCGCGAGGGAGGAAGAGGAGTGGGCCCGAGGAGGGGCCTTTCCCGCCTTCTTTCCCGGTGGCGGGTCCCTGTGTGCACGTGCGGGTGGAGGGGGTGTGATCTGGGCTTTCTTGCCCCACCCCACATACCCTCCGATAGTGCGAATGTGAGTGAACTCACAAGGTAAGTTGCAGGAAAAAGCTCTCGGTTCCCCAGGGCTTTGTTGTTTTCCGTGGGGTGCGAGACCGAGGTACCGATGAGGACATGGGGTTCACTTCTCTTCGGAAGCATGACCGTGGCAGTCGTCACCATCACTGATGCGGGGTCACCTTTGCTGGGGCTTCCCGAGTGGGCATAAGGGACAAGCTGCCATGGCACGCGGCCGTAGGTGGATGGGCTCCGTGGGCTGTGTCGCGGAAGGGGGGGGCCTCTGGCCCCGTGAGGTCCAGAGCGGCGCACGCCAGTCTAGCCCCCGCTTTTCCCACTCCTTCTCGCCCTGCGTTCCGGCCGTCGGAATCCTGGCGGCTCCAAACGTCGTGGCGCTTCTGTTCCGTTGCCTCTGCACGTGCCGTCCCTCCTGCCCTCTGTGTCCACTCCCGTTTGTCACATAGCCCAGGAATTTGTCCCTCTCTGCCTGCAGCGCTCCCCCCTGGGGGCCACGGCATGTGCCCCGCCGCCGTCCTGGCCCCCGCTGCTCTGGGCTGCAGTGGGGGCGTTGCTGGTCTGGTTCCCGCCCACCTCGCCCGCAGGCTCCCCAAGGAGCCCCTCTGAGGGTACCTCGGGCAAAAGGACCTTTTGTGGGTGGCTTCTCGGTGTCACTCGGGTCTCACTTCAAACAGCAAGTGCCTGTCCCTGACTTTCCACTGTGGCTCCCATCACCTGTGCCTGGCAGATATCGGGGAATGGAGCTGTGGCTCGGCGACTTGGTTTTAGGTCTCGGTTTGGCTCCATCTTCACGTACGGGCTGGGTGACTCTAACAGGCCGCGAAGCCTCGGTTTCTTTGTCTGTGTTGTTGGATGGGGATAAAAGCATGTCGGGCCCCTGGGAGCGGAGACCTCAGCTCTCCGCGCCGTGGCCCTCGCTCCGTCGTTCTTGCTCCTATTTTTCTTCTCTCTCCTTAACATTCTCACGTGTCTTGTGCATCAGGAGCCGCAGACCTGGCTTTATTCGCCACCGTCCTTGCCGCTTTGCGACCTTGGACAAACAGGTTAACTCCTCCCAGCCCTGCTCTTCCTGTCTGCACACGAGGGCCCGGGGCTGTCCCCCAGTGCTGAGAGTCCCGAGTCTCATGCCGAGCGAAGGGCCCGCAGAGAGCCTGGCACAGAGCGGGCATTCGGGGTGAGCCCTGGAGAACACGTGTTGCGGGACGGCCTGGTTAGGGCTGCGGAGGGGCAGTCGGTGTAATCAGTGGACGCAGTGCCATGGGGACGCGGCCAGTTCTTTCCAGGGGTGGAGGAACGGTTTGGGCAATGTTCCACGCGGGGTACTTTTGACCTTGAAGGACCAGTTGGTGTTTGCCAGACCTGACCGGACCCGGCAGAACGAATAGTTTCAGGTAGGACGACTTTCCCTTGTTCTGGCGGAACGAAGAGTACTTGGTCCGTTTGGGGCAGCGTGCGCCACACTCGTGTGGTGCGACTGTTGTCTGGGACTTCGGGGGCGAGGCGGTGACCGGCGGTTGTGTGGCGTGGCCTGGCCCTTCCACTCCTGGGCGTGTGCTCCAGAGGTCTGGAATCACACGTCCGCACAAAAGCTTGCCCGTGAGCGTTCGCAGCAGCGCTTTGCACAGTGGCCGAAAGTAAATGACGTAGTAGGAACGCGGCGTGGCGCCTGCTGTCCCGCAGCTCCCGTCCCGCCTCCGTTTGGCTAGCCTTGGCCTGCCCTTCCCGTCCAGCGTGGACACTGCATGCGTTTCTCCCTCCGAGGCCTTTCTTGGTCCTTCCGCTAGCCTGTGTTCCCCCGAAACGTTCCCGCCGGAACAGCAGTAATCGCCCGTCGGAGCACTGTTCTCCCACGGTATTTTAATCACTTACTGACTTGACAGGCTCCCCGCTGAGGCCAGGGGCTCTCAGAAGGTGGGGTGTCTAACCTGCTGTTTTCCTGTCTGTCCGCTAGTGGCATGAATTGGCATTCACGTATTGTCAAATGCAATACTAATGAATGTTTTTCCTTTTTTAAAAACGACTCCATGAGATATAATTTATATACCACACAATTCACCCATTTAAAATGTACACTTCAGATTTTCAGTATATTCATGGATTTGTGTGCCTATTAGCACAGTCGATTTAAAAATATTTTCATTACCTCGCAAAGGATCCCTGTGTTCTAGGGCCAGCAAGGGGCACGTTTTGGTGCTCACACCTTGTCGGATGCATTAAAAATAATTACTTCCTTTTGTTTGCTCTCTCTCTGTTTTTGGTTCGTTTCTGCTGTTTCCGGTAGTGCTGTGGCGAACGTTTTTCAGGTCTTTGGCTTTCTGAGCAGGAGAGAGATTTTATCAGGAGAGGCGCTTACTGGGTCAGCCACTGCGAACATTTTTATTGCTGTTGAGACCTATTGCCAAATTGCCTTCTGAAAAGATGGCTCTAATTATACCGCCAGCAGCAGTGCAGCTAATCCAGTGTGTGTGGAATGTCGCCTTACTGTTTCAATTTGTATTTTCTTGGTAACTTGCAAGATTGAGTATTGTCCCCCTGTGTTTGTTTCCGAATTGTATCTCTTTTACTTTTACGTGAAACTCTTTTACAGCCTGCTTTCCTGTCTCTTGCCGCCTTTGATTCTCATTTGTCTACGTTTGAGAGACAGATGGTCTCCTGGCCACCGTGCTGATGAGGCCTGTAAGGCTTCGAGATGCTCATTAAGTAGTTTGCCCGAAGTCTCCAGAGTTATGCAGGGCAAAGCCAAGTCTAGAACCCAGCTTTTAGCCCCAGTCCAAAGGACATGTTCAGAGCTAACCAGAAACCGTACTCTGTGCCACGCTAGGCCTGGGTGGTGAACAGCGGGTCAGCGGGAGTTAAGACACCTCTTGAAAGTAGCCGAAGGTAGCGGGAACATCTGTTTTGAACATTTTAGGATGAGTCTCCTTAGCCTAATTTGAAATTCGAAACCACTGCTAGAGCTTTGGTAGACACATCTCCGCGTGACAGAGGGCGAGCCGCAGACCGCACGGTGGGATTTGGCAGACGGCGCGGAGCTCACGGCGTCTGCTGCACGTCGGCCGTCCTTTCGTCGTTCATTTTCCCCGTCTCGGAACCTCAGTAAAGCACTTGCCCTGCCTTTTCCGTGTCCGTTGAGAAAAAGCATACCCACCCCCCCGCTTTTTTTTTCTTTTCTCTCTGGCATGTTTGATATTTTACTTCTTGTTTTAATTCCAGGACAACTTTTTACTTTGTTTCCTCTTCGGTGAGCCCGTACCCACCGGTTTAGATGGGCCCGACAGGAAGGCGCCCCCCACTTCCTCCTCCTCCTTCTCTGAGGTTGCGTGATGCTCTTTGAATGAGAGCGAATTGTGCTGTGAAGAGAATAAGAAAAAATAGGATGAGCAATTCCTTCAAAAATTTTGTTTTTTACATGTAAAGTAGATAGGTTTTTGAGTTTGAGTGCAATTACCGTAGACCCCAAGGGCTCGTAGAGGATGCATTTTAGGGTTTCCAGGAAAACTTTATGGA